CGAACGGCTTCATTGGCTGTAGGGACCAGTCTCAAGTTTTGCTTTGAAGGATTGGAGCAGTTGTTGCTTTCGGCTGCTGTTTTCTGAGCCTCGTTTGGCTTAAAGCAGTGTTTCTCAACCTTGGCGACTTTAAGTCCTGTGGACTTCAACTCCCAGAACCCCCCAGCCAGCACAGCTGGCTGGGGGATTCTGGGAGTTGAAGTCCACAGGACTTAAAGTCGCCAAGGTTGAGAAACACTGCTTTAAGCCAAACGAGGCTCAGAAAACAGCAGCCGAAAGCAACAACTGCTCCAATCCTTCAAAGCAAAACTTGAGACTGGTCCCTACAGCCAATGAAGCCGTTCGTGTGTGTTTCCCTCCTGGGCTTTCTAGACACGGAGAATCGGGGGTCCAAACGCAATTATTAGCAGCAGACCTTTTTCAAGGACACAACTTTGCACAACTGCACATACATACCAAGTTTTACCTCGCTGCAGCTGTCTGGATCTTCCTGCTTTGCAGCCGGCAAGGAAGCCTCTGCAGGCCACTTCCTCTCTTCCTCTTTTAAGCTCTGGGCAATTTGCTGCCAGGAAAAAACCCATTTTGTGAAGGAGCCGATAAAAGATGTTTGCTTATTTTATTCCTTATTCTAATGATCTTAACCCAGCTCTTTCTCTCTGTCCTCCAGGCTGGATCTCACTCAGTACGGAGCGACTCTCTGGAGTTAAAGATCTTTCAGCAAAAATAACGCCTGGTGTGACTAAATTATACTGAGCCTTATTTAGAGAATATCACTGTTGTTCAATTTCCGTCAATATTGGCGTACAAGAAAGCCATCGATCCAGGCTGGGCATTTTGCTTAACGACCTATGACTGAAACCGCAGGGTCAATTCTAAGTTGAGGGCCATCTCTGTGTTTACATGGGTTTAGCTGTCCACATGGACACAACTTTTGTGCCATTCCCTCATGAGCTTCTCAACCTAGTCCGATGCCCCAAGCCCAGGGACAGCATGGCAATGTCTGAGGCCTCTTTATCATGTCACTTTGAAAGCACGAAGGTACCAACTGCCTTCACCAGGCTCAGCATCCTTTTGTCGATATGGCACCTTCTCTTCCTCTGCCAACCCCCCCCCCCAACCTTACCTCCATCATCTCCAACTTGGCAGGATAGGCCAGGTCCCCGGGGGCAGGCTTATAGCCCATAATATCCGTCTGAATGTAGATGTGCGTCCTGTAAACCAGACGCTCTTGAACATCCTCCAACATCTGCTTCACTCCAGCAGCAAAAGCGCCCAGGTGTTTCACTGGGGGGGGGGAATTAAAAGTTCTCACTTTTCTTCAACTTTCTCCTAGTTATCGTCAAAAACACACTAGACTGGGGTGTGTTTCTCGGCCTTGGCAACTTGAGGACCCAGAATTCTCCAGCCAGCCATGGAATTTATGCTGGCTGGGGAATTCTGGGAGTTGAAGTCCACAGGTCCTCCAAGTTGCCAAGGCTGAGAAACACTGCACTGATTCCATCCAGATGAAAATGGTATTGCCCTAAAGGTTTCCTGAACTCAAGTTAGGGATGTAATCGTTCTTTATTGCCATTCTGCTTCATTTCCCAATTGGGGAATAACTGCAGAACTGCCTTTGCAGAGAATGGACAGACTTACAGGAATAAAACCAGAACAATTTTATTTGTATGCATTTACCTAATAATGTTAGTTACTACAAGATTGGTGGCGCTTGTGTGAGGGTGATACGACGTCCTTGCAGCCAGTTATGGCAGGGTGAATAACTGCAGGGGTTTAATTTTGAAACTGGGTTGTAAGGAGTTTGGGTGTATGTGTGTGTGTGTGTGTGTGTTTTCTACTGTAACTGTGAAAAGTTGCTACGTGATCAGCCACAAGTCAAGGGCTATCTGTGTACACACTATCCAGTCATGTTTAAAATGTATGCTCTTATTTTGATTGTTTGATTCTTATTTGTTGCACTTACCATTGTTTTGCACGTGGTCTTCTAACATTTCATTTTTAAGGATCCCGCAGAGCTCAGACAAAGTTTCCAAATGAATGACGTGGATGATCAGTGGCCTGAAGACGTCATATAAAGACACGCACAGCTTTTCCAACAGCTCACTGGAAAAGAGAAGAACACACACACCAAAAGATCAGAAGTGTCCATCCATGGCCAGCCCGTTCCACCCAGAAACGGAACCCAAGGTATCCAGCTAAAAGGGGATGAATAAAATAGGCCATTTCTCCCCGTGCTGCTGGTAGGATTTTGTACGATAAAAGAACATATTACAAGCGCCACCTACTCCAATTTGGGTGTTGGTTTTGCGAAGAACTCGTCAAAGAGCTGATGTTCATCTTGGCAAACATGGACCATGAAGGCACAGCCACTTCGCACCTGAAGTCAGTCATAAATAGATGCGCAGTTAGGTTGAGACATATTGGTTATGCCCCTGAACCGCTTCCCCTAATTCCTGACTTGGCAGGGAGGAATAGTTGACTGCAGATCCCTGAATTATCAGGGCAGGGCAGGGCTAAAGTCACATTGCTGGCTCAGCCCTGACTTCCCTGTTTCTACTCTCCAAGCCTTAAAATGTAAGGACTGGATTGTCACCCAATGCAGTTTCAGTCAAGATATAAATCACTATTGCAACTCAAATTGGGAAACGCAGTTACTCAACACACGCCACTCAGGTTTTAACCAACATTAGGTCAATAATTCTATCTCTCTCTAGGATCTTTCAAACCACAGCAAATTAAAAAGGTGTCTGCCTATATGCAAATTGGCCAAATAAAATCAAAGCTCCCCAGGCAATTTTGATCTCTTTTGGAATTGTTGAGAAAAAAATAGGCTTGCTGCGTGATAAAACGGAGAGAGAGAAAATACATTTCACTGAAAGCTAAAAAAACACCTACTTATATGAACAAAGTATTTTTCTACTAAATTCAAAAGGAGCCAACATTTCATTTAAAATGAAAACGCAAACAGAGAGAGATAAAACAGTAAAGAAAATATGATTTTACCAGAGCACAATGATCTCTGTTGTTTCGGTTAGTTAATTCTGTGACAGTGCTAGTAATACTAGGCCCCAACAAGTGTTCTCTCTGATTAAGGTAACAGTGGTGGATTTCATTTAATAGTTGCCGGTATCTAGACAAAGGGGGGGGGGGGGGGGGAGGGAGAGAAAGAAATAATACATTTCAGAGAGAAAATAAATTTTAGAGGTAGTAAACTCCTTACATTTTATATGCCTCTTCTCTGGCAAGAATGAGCAGTAAAAAGTGAATGGCATTTTGGGGCCTGCAGTCATTCACATGACTAGAATTATGTAGCAAACCAGCAAGATGTGACCGAAGCCATTCCATTCCATTGTTAGAAGCAAAAGAAAGGAATGTAAAGTTGGCTTTGTTGATCATAGCTAAAATATGGAATAGTTTTATAACATTCTAGAAGCCTTTATGGATTTTTTTGCCAACGTTAGGACAGAAATGAGAGTTTTGGATTGGAAAATGGATGGGAGGGGAGGGAGAGCATTATCAGAACTATGCATGTAATCTCATAGGGGATCAGGAACCATTAATCTGCCTCTACTTGTTGCAAGGAAGATTAAGAGTCGCTTCTCTATTCCTTTCCCCCCCCCACTTATCTTCCTTTCTCTTCCTTTTCTTTTTCTCTTTTCCTTTTTACACTTTGTATTTCTTCTTTCCTATTCTTTTTTCTTCTGATTGCAGTCTGCGCTGGCTTCAAGCGATGTAAAACTGTTTAATAAAAAGTATTTTTAAAAAGAAAAGGAAGTGGCCCAGTGCTGCTTGGGCAAAATCCAGCAACCTTTGGAAGCATCTTTGGTGTCTCATGCTCTTTCTATGGCTTCCAGGACAGGAGGTGGGAATTACAATGGATTGAAATTATCCTGGGCTTAAAAGGATCCCTAGTACTCCATACGGTTCAAAAACAAAACCACAGAAATGTGAAGAGAGATCAGAAACTAAGAGAGAGAAGAGAAGAGGGGATATTACAGGGGATATTCACGGAGGATTCCGAGGGCACAGAAGCAGGCTGATTCCCAAACTTCCTCTCAAGGTGGCCTCTTGCATGCTTGTCATTGACTTAAAAATTCACCATATAGTTATTTGTCCTCATCTTACGTCAGTTGCTTGCAAGGCCTTAGAGTAGTGATTTGAACTGGTGGAGCCAAAGGAGGCCCTCTCGGCCCAAGGAGAACCAGGGGCCGCCTCCCTGGAGCCAGAGGTGGGTCTCCCCAACCAGGCCTGCTGTGCTCAAGGAGAGAACGAGGATCAGACGGCACCTTCTCAGGCCTCAAGCCACCCAACGGTATTTTGCATTTATTTCAATATAAGCTGCTAATAGGTCTACGTACTCTGGCATTTTCTCAGATCGCTGCTCGATTTGTTCAAAAAGTGTCTAGGGAAACAAGGAGGAAAAAAAAAGGTAAATGACCCCTCAAGTGAACTGTTTTCTCTCGATCCCGTTCAGTTATCCAGAATCCTCTCTGCGCTCCAAGAGAGGCTCTTTTCTGAAGAAATAGCTAGGAATTTCCCATGTGAAAAATCTCAGCTTTTTGTCTTTCTAGAGTAAATGGTTTTTCTCGGCAATCCTATTAATTCAAACCTCCCAGTGTTTTCATAGGTTAGGTATAATTCCGTGACCCGGGAATGAAAGAATATAAAATCCCAAATCGAAAACCCACATAAGATCAGGTAAAGCAGCTAATTCCAGAGACTGAGAGACAGCGAAGGGAAGCTAATACAACACCAGTTTGATTCAAGTATACGTGGGAAGGACGGATTGGATGTCAACTACGAACATGCAAAACAAACTCCCTGCTGGTGCAACTGGCAGAGCTCGCTTTCACTTCCATTACATGGCAGTTTTCTAATGAGCACCAAAGCCTTTACAACAGGAGCATTTTAGCACCCGGAGACCCAGCTTCAGAACCTGGATGTCAGGACTGAATACATTTGTCCACCTTGAGTGTATCCCAGGAGGCGTCGAGGCCAGTAAGTTTTCTTTGAGTTTAAAGTAAATAGCCTTCCGTAACAATGTTGTGTTCCTTCTGACAGTGACCCCCCACTGTTCGACTTACCCTGACTTTGGGTGCAGCAGCTCTGAACTTCAGATAGAACAAAGTAAAGGCGTTGTCTGAATTTGGAGCCATCAAAGGATCCTAAAAGAAACAGAAAGTTGGCTGCATTATTGCATAACGGGGGGAGGGGGGGGAGAAAGAGAACATTTCCACAATATATATATATATATATATATATATATATATATATATATAT